CAAAAGGAAAGGAAGTTACTTGCAAGACTCAGTTTCAGCTTAATTTTTTTTTCTTTTGGCATAGTGAATTGGGGTGCCATCTTTTTATTTTCTTTTCACAGTACCCATGTTGTCCCAAATGACAGACTTTTCTTCTTTTTAAAGGCTGAATAGTATTTCATTGTGTTTAATTTCATATTTTCTTTTCCCATTTATCTGTTCTTGGACATATGACTACTATGAATAGTGCTGCAATGAACATAGGACTGTAACTATCTCTTCAACAAACTTATTTCAAATCTTTTGGGTAAATGCCCAGACATGTGATTGCTGGAGCATATGATAATCCTATTTTTATTTTTTTGAGGAACCTCTATACGGTGTTCTGTAATGATTGTACTAATTTACAAGCTAACCAACAGTGTGTAAGAGTTCCCAGGAAGAGAGATCCAAGATGGCCGATTACTAGCAGCTCAGGATTGTAGCTCCCAGTGAAAGCACAGAGAACAAGAGGAAGCCACACTTTCAGACAAATTTTTGTTGCTCACGGACCAGGAGATTCCCAGCATAGGAGCCCCACTGGTCACCAGCGCGACTTTTGTGGCCAGCACGGCAGTTTTGCTGGTGCCTAGGCACGACAGTTCTCAGTGCAGAGTAAATGGGACTGCGTCCCCTTTTGGTTAATGTTTGGAGTTCCAGGAAGGCAGAGTTGCCCATTTGGCTGATTGAAAAAGGGACTCTAGAAGGAAGCCAGGCCAGAGATTCCTGGGCAGAAAAGCACCACGAATCGTAATGCCTCTGTTTTAGCCTGTGCAGTGGTTGCTCAGATTTCAGCGCTGGGAATCAACAAGTTCGACATCCACTCAGAGACCTAATTTGAAAGTCAGTAATTACAAAGACAACAGGTGGATAAATTTACAATGATGGGAAGAAACCAGCGTAAAAAGGCTGAGAACACACAAAATCAGAATGCCTCTCCCTCTACAGGGGATAACAGTTCCTCATCAACAAGGGAACAAGGCCTGATGGAGTTTCGCTCTTGTTACCCAGGCTGGAGTGCAATGGCGCAATCTAGGCTCACCGCAACCTCCGCCTCCTGGGTTCACACAATTCTCCTGCCTCAGACTCCTGAGTAGCTGGGATTACAGGCATGTGCCACCATGCCCAGCTAATTTTTTGTATTTATAGTAGAGACGGGTTTCACCATGTTGACCAGGATGGTCTCGATTTCTTGACCTAGTGATCCACCCACCTCGGCCTCCCAAAGTGCTGGGATTACAGGCTTGAGCCGCCGCACCCGGGCTGGCTTGGTTCTCTTTCTTACCTAAAAATGTCTTTCCGCCAATGATATGGCACTTCAAAATAAGGTTCATTTTTCTATTTCATTGCTGTCCCATTTGCTTCCTTATTTTTTCGTTTGTTTTCCTTTTTTCTTTGCCTGCAAGTAACTATAGCATTCATTATGTGCCCTCCTATTTATTCATAATCTCTTCCATGAGATCCAATCCTATGTTTCAAATTTTCTAGTGGACTATTTTATTGTTTATTATTGTGTTCAGTTCTCTAAAACTGTAAATCCTTCTTTGCTTTTCAATATTCTCTATCAGCAAACTTACAGACTCTTAATCTTGAAATCTTAGAACAATTTTCTATTAATGCTTCATATATAACTTACCGAATCATATTGATTGCATGTCCTACCTTTGTACTTCCTATGCCATAAGCTTAACTTAGATATTAATAATAGCTGTCTTTCAGATTACTCTTTTTTTTCTTTTTGAGATTCTTGTTTATCTCATTCTATACCTTGGTACATTAATTTTATTCTTATGATATTCTCAAAAATATAGAAGTTAAGAAATAAGAAAGATGAATAATGTCTGGCCTCTACCAAGGTCCCAGCACATCCTAATATTTTGCAACATTTGTTTTAGCTTTGTTTTTGATTTTAAAATAAATACATTTAAAATAAATTTGAAGTCTTCTATGTCCTTTTATTCCTCTCCCTCATCTCAGATGTAAAACCTGTTCCGAAGTTGGTGTTTATATTTCATCTTCATGTTTTCTCCTATTACTCTGTGTGTGTATCTCTCTCTAAAGAATACATCTATATGGTGATTTTTTGGGATATTTCCAACCTATAATTAAATAATATGACATCATTTTAAAATTAGTTTTCATGACTCCTTAGTTTTGAATTTGTGGCAATTCCCCACTCTTTACTTGCCTTTCATGATGTTGAAACATTTTTAGACTTGTGGGCAGTTATTTATTAGAATGTCCTGCAATTTGGATTTTTCTGATGTTTACTTGGAATTAGACTGAGACACAACATTTTTGGTGAGAATCCCACTGAAGAATTCTGCTCTTATCAGTGAGCAGGAGATTTATGATTTCAATTTGTCTTATTAATGGTGATGTTAGCTTGATTGCTTGATTAAAGAAGTGTCTGTGAAATTTCTTAACTATAAAACTACAATAGTCACCTAGTAACAAAAATTTCTTAAGAGGAGACCGTATTAGACTGTGTAAACATCCTATTTCTCCTCTCACTCACTATATTTAATATTCATCAGTTAATCTTGCTTGCAACAATTATTTTACTGGTTTTCAAATAGTGACTTTCTATTTCCTAATTTCTTCTGAATTAAATTAGAATTCTTCTGATAGGACAGGCTATCATTTCTCTCCCATACTTTATTCAGTTATTTATGTTTACTGGTATGGGCTCATGGATATTGAATATTTATTGTGTCACATAAGCTATAATTTAATATCATTTATACTGTTTCTATTTTATTGATTTGGTTATTTGGAGTTCTTTCAAGTCAGTTCTTGAGTTTCAGCTAACTGAATTTCAGTTTTCAATTTAGAAATAAAATGCCCTCATCCTGTTTTGCTTTTATTTTTTAAATTACTCTTACTAAACCTCTATTATTTTTCCTTGCTCTACAGACTCACCAATACTTGCCATTATCAAATCTAAAAACATTCACTATTCTAATATGAAATGATATTTCATTGTTGCTGGATTTGTTTCTCTGAAATATAGTGAGGTGAAATGTGCTTTTTATATGGATTTGCCATTTTTTAATTTTCTATACATTCGCTGCCTTGATATATTTTCCATTTTTTTCTATTGTATTATTAGTCTTTTAATTTTTGTTTTGTAAGTATGCTTTACATTTTTGGATAAAAAATGTGTTAGTGTATTAAAATTGGATGTATTCAGATAAGAAAACACACTATAAAATGACTCAGTTATACTATTTATACTTTATATATTTATTTGTCTTCTATGCAAAAAGTCTGGAATCAGTACTGATGAACTGGTATGGTGGCTTCAGATAAATGAGAAATCTAAGCTTCCCTTTTTTACTCCGTTATCCCCCTCCATCATCAGGAATATTTTATGGTTTAAGATGGTTATTAGAATTCCAGCTATCAAAGTCATTTTCTGGGAATTAGAGCAATTTGGAAACAAAAGCCAGAAACTCTTAAAGTAGAATTCATAGTAATATCTTAAAACTTATTCTTATATTTTATTTATGAGAACTTAATTAAATAGTTACCATTAGATGCAACGGAGCCTGGAAACAGCTTTTACTTTGAGTGGTAATGTACCCACTAAAAATCAGAGGTTTTACATTAAAGTGTAAACTATAGATACTGGGCTATACAACTAACAGTCTCTTTCACAATTAGTTGTATGCTCGGTCAATTACCTAACTTACCCATAAGAAACTACCTGAAAGCTTAGCATGCTTAGCGTCCCAATAATAAAACACTAATCATAAATGGGATTACCAATAATGGAACACCAGTCATAAACGGGTTTAACAATTTATACCTCGTGTTTCACTTTTCTAGGAGACATTAGGTTAATTTTTTTCATTCAATAAGGGCAACAAAATATCATTCTAAAGTAAATTTGGAAGACCATACATACATAGTTTTGAGCAATTGACTCTTGTAGGTTGATTGCTAAAATGGTTGTAATTGAGTTGAATCAAATATATGTGTATGTATACACACACACACACACACACACACACACATATATATAACACATACAGCAGAATTGCATGTTTGCAAGTTGTCAGAGAATATGAAATAAAACATTTCTTTTATATTATTTATGCTATGTCTTTTAGAAGTTATTATAATCATCCCCTAAGGAAAAAAGAACGATACCAAAAAGGATTAGGTATAGAATCACTCCTTTATGTGTCAAGTACAGCTTACATTGAAACTCCTAGGAGAAGTATGGCTAGGATTTGTGAAATATGTAATTTGAAGTTAGTCAAATGACTTTAGTGACATTTCACAATGTCATTTTCAACAGGCTCAAGAAAAGCGATTATTAACTGCTAGAGTAGGTATCAATGAATTGTTTCGTATGCTAGTATATTTATTCTTTAAAGTGTAAATCTTTAAGGGCTGGCAAAAAACAACAACAACAAAACATAGTTTTTTTTTCTTGTTTTGCTTCAACTGGCTTGGTATATTGTACATTTCAGAAGTGAAAGCTTTTAGGAAAGGTTAGAGAGGCATTTATCTGGTAGAGTCACATCTTCAAATACCCCTGAATTTTGGGGGGTATTTTTCCAAGATGACATATTTTTTCTCTACATGTATATTTCTTTTCCATGTGCTTTTATTTTCTTCCCTTAACTGTCTACTACTTAGTGACCTTAATGTCAAAAAATCAATTGTATGTATCTCAGATATGACACATTTCACAGAATTGACAAGACTGGAAATGAACCTGTGATGAGTCTGATAGAGAGAAAGCTATGATATCCATTGCCACCCCCCACCATTAAAAGCAAAATAACAACAACAACAACAACAAACGAACAAATACGAAGGAGCACGATAGAAGTAATAATTTATTCCATTACAGCAGTTAATAAAAAACTTCCAAAAAATAGTTTTGAACTTACTTTAGAATCACTTTCAGAGTGCAGGTACTTAGTTACTCATCAAATTGAGTGATGTCTATACCTCTTCTCTTGTAGTGCTTACTACACATTCCTGTACAACACAGCTGGCAATCTGGATTGGACACTGCTGATCAAAACTTTGCTGATTATGCTAGTTGCACTTTCCAATGAAAAGGCTTACTATCCATCCTGTTGTCCAATAAAAACTTTACTTTTTAATATGTTTGCTGGATTTTATCTTTCATCTTTCTTTCTCTTTGTTTCTTTCTTTCTTTCTTTCTTTCTTTCTTTCTTTCTTTCTTTCTTTCTTTCTTTCTTTCTCTTTCTTTCTTTTTCTCTTTGTTTCTTTCTTCTTTCCTACCCTCCTTCCTCCCTCCCTCCCTCCCTCCCTCCCTCCCTCCCTCCCTCCCTTCCTTCCTTCCTTCCTTCCTTCTTTCCTTCCTTCTTTCCTTCCTTCCTCCCTGACCCACCCACCCCCTGCCCCCACTTTCTTTCTTTCTTATGGAGTCACACTCTGTTGCCTAGCCTGGAGTGCAGTGGTACAATCTCAGCTCACTTCAACCTCCACCTCCAGGTTTCAAGCCATTCTCCTGTCTCAGTCTCCTGAGTAGCTGGGATTACAGACATGCACCACCATGCCCGGCTAATTTTTTGTACTTTTAGTAGAGATTGGGTTTCCCCATGTTAGCCATGATGGTCTCCATCTCCTGATCTTGTGATCTGGCTGCCTCGAACTCTCCAAGTGCTAGGATTACAGGCATGAGCCACTATGCCTGGCCGATTTTTCTTTTTAAAAAATTACCAGTAGTAACCAAAAATATTGCACAATAACAAATATGATGCATAACTTCTCGAAAAAAGTTTGCTTTTTCCTTTTGTTTCAGACATGATTGGTCAAATTCAAATTTTCAGTCCAATTTGAAAACCTTTATGCCATGCATTACTGTTTAATTACTATAATACATATTTACTACATGATTTATAAACTTTAATGTCAAGGGCTTCAGTCACATAATACATGATGAGTCTAAAGCACTCAAAAAATGAATCTTGTTAAAACTGAGGAAATATGGCACTGTAAAAATTAGTAAAGTCATTTTACAATTTTACAGTAGGGAACTGATTTAAAGTTTTTATAAATCCTAGTGAAGGAAAACATTTTGAGCTAATCAAATTAGCTGTTTAAGTTGCCGAAGCAACTTAATTGAAACTAAATCAATTAATTTGCATAAATCACACTGTAAAATGTTTCTCTTGAAATCAATTTAGCTGTCATTTGTATAAAGAATAAGCACCTGATGATATTAAAAAGACCAGGCCTCAGAAAGTCATAACAATATTATGGAACATTTGTAAATGTGTCATTACTTAATTAGATTTAATATTTTAATGGTTTGTAAAATTTAACATTATTTATTTGGGGGAAACTTGCCTCCAGTCATTTCTGAGGAGATACAGGTTTATGAAGTATTTTATTTACCAAATAACTAAGTAGATTTACTCTACGGTATTAAACCCATGCTAGGTGGCTTTTTAGACTGCTATCAATGTATTTGTTCATGAGATAAATCTTTTCCTTACTTCATTATACATGACTTACTCTTCAAAAATGTTTGGCTTTTTCCTAGGAAGATATGCATGGGTATTTAAAAAAAAAACATAAAAAATGATAATATATTTATGCATTTTTTTTGTTAGACTACAGTCTATGTGTGTATATATATATTATTTTTCCCTCTTTTTTCCTTTTTAATCTGGATAGTTTTACTTCCTTTTCTTCTTTTTTTATTTTTTCTGAATACAATGAACATCTTTTTTTTTATCATTATAAGTTCTGTGATGCATGTGCAGATTGTACAGGTTTGTTACATAAGTATACACATGCCATGGTGGTGGTTTGCTGCATCCATTGCCCCATCATCTACATTAGGTATTTCTCCTAATGCTATCCCTCCCCAATCCCCCCACCCTCTGCTATTCCTCTCCTAGTCCCCTACCCCCCAGGCCCCAGTGTGTGATGTTCCTTTCCCTGTGTCCATGTGTTCTCATTGTTCAATACCCACTTATGAGTGAGAATATGCAATGCTTGGTTTTCTGTTCTTGTGTAGTTTGCTGAGAATGATGGCTTCCAGTTTCATCCATGTCCCTGCAAAGAACATGAACTCATCCTTTTTTAATGGCTGCATAATATTCCATGGTGTATATGTGCCACATTTTCTTTATTCAGTCTATCCTTGATGGGCATTTGGGTTGATTCCAAGTTTTTGCTATTGTGAACAGTGAACATTAAATATTATTTATATAAATCTAAATATTACTTCATTGTTTAAGCCACATGAATTTATTTTGCCTTTTAGTCTATTTTTACCCAGATATCACCCAGAAATGACTTGTATATTACCCTATGCACATGAAAAAGAGGAGTTGAAATCATTAAAATAATCTTTTATTGGATATCCTTTCCTTAATTCTATCTCATCCTTTTTACTTTTTTTATTACAAAAATAAAACTACTTACATAAGGCAAATATATAATAAAGAATAATAATAAACACCATGCCATTTCCCCTTATGGGAAAACCATTATTAATATCTTTGAAGCACTGAGGACTTCCCAATCCATTTGCCTTGTCCCATTCTCAAAGATAGCTACTGCTAGGAATTTTGTTTATGATTTACTGTATTTATCTATATTTAAACAATACTCATGCTTGTCTCTGAACTATAAATGGTTTGCTGTTACATGTTTTTTCTCTCTCTATATATATGCACACACATGGAATTTATTCATTTACTCATTCGATAAATATCCATTGAGTACACATTATGTGCAAACTGTCAGTGTCAGTATTTATTACAGTAAAAATTATACAATTAAGCAGAAGAGAATCTGTGTGAGTGGCTAAATGTCCACAAATGGAAAAACTGATACAAAAGAACAAAAGTGTAACACAACTAAAACATTTAGTTAAGGTGTCAGGGATAGCCTCACCGAAAAAGTGACTTTTGCTTAAATACCTAAAGGAAGTGAGTGAATTAGTCATGCAGATAGAAATACAACATAGAAAATGCAAAGTCCCTGAGGTGACAGAGAGATGTTAAAAAGAAGTATGTGGCTAGAGACTGAGCCAGGCAGTGAGAGGGCCTGAGGACACAGGATCAGAAAGGTAACATTAACCAGATCATGTGGGGCCTGGTAAACATTTGGCCTTTATCTGGAAGATTTTGGAGGACTTTGAGCAGAGGAGAGACATGATGAATTCTACGTTGTAAGATCACTCTGTTCATGTGCTAAGAATAGATTACAAGGATTTAGGCAAAGAAAAAAAAAAGCCCAATTAGGAGGCTATGAGAGAGTCAAGACAAGAAATAGTGTCAGCATAGACCAGGAAGATGACAATCCTGGTACTGAAATGGGGTAGAATTGCAGCCATCTTTTGAAATTAGAGCCAACAGAATTGCTGATGGAGATCAGGGGTGATAGAAAGGATTCAAGGCCTGAAAAGGAGGAAAAAGTGGTATCTATCTTAATGTTTATCTGCTATAGGAGGGACTTGCAGTGCTAAGAATGAAATATTTATTAGCCATCAATAAAAATATGCCAAATAGGCAATTGGTGGTTACATTTGAAGGTCAGGCAAAGCATTTAGACTAGAGAAATAAATTTGGAAGTCATCAGCATATAAATGATCTTTATTAAATTGTATTGATCTAGGTGTTTGAAATAATGACTCTTCATGTTAACACTTCTTTAGAATCATATGATAAATTTTGAATTTTAAAAATACAGTTGACGTCTAGAAATTTTGCAAGTATAATTTGTATTTATCTTTTAACAGATTGCTGTTTGTAAATATATGTGGGAAATGATTTTATTTCTTATATTATTATTGCTTAGTTTGATTGAATTTAATGATTTTATTTGTGGTCATTTTCCATGATGGTTATACAAATTTACAATCTCTGATAAATTTACAGTATTAAGATTATTGATGGAAATTTATTTTCAGAATTTTCTAGTCAGTTGAGTATTAAATGGAATCAAATTCTAGCTTGCTTTGTATTGCTCTGATTATTGAGTATGAGCATTTTAATAGTAATAACGATAATAATAATATGTATTTGCTGAACTCTGATGTTCCAGCTTTCTTCTGTGTGAATTGACCCCATCTATTTTATTACTGTCCATGTTTTAGATACTACTATTAATCTACACATTAGAAAAAGAAAAAGGAACACAGAATTTCTCCAATGTTGTACAGTAAAAACCTGGTGGAGCCAAGACTTAAACCCTAGCAGTATTACATCATGAACACACTGTCAACCACTCTGAATAACCACTTCTCTCATTGCCTGTCCAAATCTTTACTTCTTTGTTTATTTTGATAATTTGTGATTGTGCAGTAAAATTCCCATTCTTACTTTTTGGTAATTTTAAAGCTTAAATGCTTTTCAATTTTCATAAAATAACAAAATTTGTTGTATTCTCAACATACTCATTCTTTTTTGGTTTTCTTTCTGGAAATTTTCTATTTTTTGCCTCTAGTCTATGCAACTTTTTTTCCTGTCTTTTGTGTTCGGGTTCTGTTTTCTTACTCTTCAGATATATCTCTTTAACAAGAATATAGTTGAATTTTAAAAATATCTGGCTAACTAATATTTGTTTCAACTTAAATGTTATATTATTGTACTGCCATTAATTTTGATAATTCATTTATTTGAATTATTTTCATACATAATTTTATTTTATAACTTTATGTTTTAATTCTAGTGCCTGTTTTCCCTTTCTTTGCTTTCATTTGGATTCATTTTTAATTTTTTTTCTTATTATTGCTTCTCTCTTAATTTGGAATTTAAATAATTTGTTATTTTGTTAGTTATTAAGAAAATTTAATATTTTGTCTGAAATTTAGGAGTTAATAAACATAGTTACTTTTTCCAAAAAACTGAAGTAATTATTTAACTTAAAATCTTTTTCATAATTTACATTTTTTTCAGTCTTTTAATTCATTCTTTTATTTTTAACTTCACAAGTTAAATGTTATTGTTTTGTACAATTTTCTTTACTTACTTTAACATTTCCTTTTTATATGAGATTATCTGAGAATATTTTTATTTTTTCTTGGTTATCTTCTTTAGAGTTTACTTCAATAAATAACTGCTCGTTGTTGCTTTATTTCCTGAAATGTCTTCATTT